TGATAGTTTACAACCAATCATAGATCGCCAAATGTACTGTCCAGCCAATCACAAGACTCCCACCAGTCCGTTGTGGAGTCGTCCAGGGGCTATCAGAAAGATAAAGCGATGGACAGTGTCAAGGGGAAACAGATATAAATAATTAGACCATGACAGGCAGCATGGTAAGGTTGTTTCTCAGCAAGATGGTTTCAGGATCCAGTTTCATCCCATAAATTAAAACCATGAATCTTGGGTTAACTGAGGAATCTAATTTGTCTCGAGGTGTGATGGACTTGTTCAGAGTATAGCCCACATCTTGATTAGTGATTGCTGGGCATATTTAGGTACATAATAACAATGATGGATGTATGGATGTATGGATGGAACAGTTTTCAAAGACACAGGCATAGTTAAATCCAAGCGGATGTGTTTAACTTTGAGGAGGTGCATTAATATAGTTGGACATGTTGGAGTTGGTGGTAATGAGCCTAATCTAAAGATGGAAGGAAGGTTGAGAGAAGGGGCACTGCATGGGTGAGAAAAACAAGATGTTTCTTCAAAGACAAAATGCGAGCCAAAATCTCATTAAGAAGTCACCTTTAACTTCTATTCAGATTCCAACTTCCAACAGCGCCACTCTATGAAGTTGTGTATCTTTCARCGACATAAAATTGACCTTTATCTGAAAGTTGGACGCCCTGATGCACGTCTAAATGTGCTGTCCTCAACCGAAAAATTCTGAACGTCCCTACGCCTTGTTTTGTGCTCARTTTCTGAAAAGAGCATTTATTACATGTATGGAGAACTGAGCTGTCTCAGAAAAAACAGCATCTCCGCTCGGCGCTTCATCTTCTCTTGAAATGACTGAATTCATACACAATTTTCTTCTTTTTTTGTGTTGCAAAACTAATTGATTGGTAGATAATTAGAATGCAAATAGCTGCAATTATGTTCGGTGTACTTGTTGGAGTGGCACTGCTGAGTGAGAGAGAAATAGGTATGATTGTCCTGCTTCAAAGAGGTAAACTAATCAGTAAAAAAAGGCAGTGTGTTAATGACTCATGCTTTCAGTAACTTCAAAGCAATAATCTTAGTTTTTTTTGTGAGCTAATAATCATTATGGGAGCAGTTACAAAAGCATATTTAATAAGAGCCTTTTAAAGCAGGTAGACTTTTTTTTGAGCAGAGTTGCTTTCATCTTTCTGGCTGGTTAATTGGATTCAAAAGGTAGGAAACTGGTCAGAACTGAAACAAAGATTTTCAGATGTTCGTGTGTTGTTATAGCTTAGTGTTGAGTGAGTTCATACCACACAAAGATGTGGACTTTATTAGGGGTACAACAATACATGTACCCGTATCGAACCATATCGAACAGTGCTTTAAGTTCAACACACACTTGTATGGAACAATACAGATTTAAAAAATTTACTTTATCATCTTCTGAAGATGCTCTGTGTTGAAGGATCAGTGGATCTGTGTTCGACTACTCCACCTAGGCTGCATTGTCGAGCGCAGGTCCACTGAGAAGCTTGCTGTTTCAGCAACATTTAATTTAAAAACTGTACTTTTGAGGTTAAACAAATGTTCAGAATTAATTTAAATAAATTACAAGTTAAAATGGGCATGGACATTTCTCTTTTTTGTATCGAAAAAATATCGAACCGTGAGACTAAAGTATCGAACCGAACCGAATCGTGAATTTTCTGTATCGTTGTACCCTTTAAACAAATTTAAATGGTAGCTTCCTTTTGGTATTCCAGCTCTTGAGAAGCTGATGACATTCGCGTGAAGTCCCTCCTTTTTAACAAATGAACACAATGGTTTCTATTTGATTGCAGTATACCAGTATAGATTTCCACCTAGAGTAAATAAAACATAGGGTTCCTCGGACTTCTTCTTCCTGTTTATGAGGAGTCCGTGTTTGGACACTGAAACTTCCAGAGAGCAGAGGTCACAGAAGGAGAGCAAGATCCTGCAGGCTGGCTGACAAGATGAAAATTCACAGTCACCTGCCCCAGTCTGCGGTCCCTTCTGTGCTAGCTGACCTGAATCCCCCTCCTACTGCCCTCTGCCCCGAGCTGTAGGGCAGAGCATGCTCTCTGTTCTTATCCCCCTCCTCGTTCCATCACAGTTCGTCACTCATCATAAATGATACAGAAGCCCAGGGCATGCAGCCGTCTAAGAATGACCACGTAGTGTTTGTGTGTGTRTGCGTTGTCTGGCTATGAGAGAGAGACAGGGGAGTCCATCAGAGCCATGAAAACAAAAGGCACTAAAGGTCACACTCACTTTACGCCAATAAAAGTTACAGTTTGTTTCTGTGTCCTGATATGGAAGCAACACAACGGGGCGCTAAAACAGATGACCTTTGGTCAGTAACAAGTCAGAAACAGTTACAAACTTACAAACAGCAACACGAAACACATACACCATTAAAATTCTGAAAAAGTTTTTATTTAAAATTACAAACACGCTAAGCCACTGGTTCCCAAACTTACCAGTGTTTGACCCACAAAATAACAGTAGCAGAGAACTTTGCCCCCAACTATTTCTGGTTTTTGGAAACATTGGTTTCAAGTCAATTAAACAAGGACGACGTAACAATATTCATTGTGATACTTTTATCTATTTTAGGTACACTAACTACACTCTTTTGGAACAACTAAGGCAAAAATAATTGTTATAGTCATTTTTAAAATATAATTAATTCTGAAAATCTTTTCAAGACCCGACCTTGATATTTCAGGACCCGAAATATAAGGAGGATAGTGGTCCCGATCCCAACTTTTGGAACCACTGCTTTAAGCTATACATGATGATTTACCAAATTCCATCAKTTCTTTTTTTAGTAGATTTTCTGAAATAATTATTAACTCAAGAATTAAACAAGTCATTTGTCTTTTTTTGCTGATTGATTAAAACAACAACGCTATAGAAGATCACAAGTTGTACAGAGAGCAGAGCATCTGCAGAATTTGTGGTAAGAGTCAAATCAAAGCAGGAAGTACAGTATATTTTAAACTTTACAGACTTGTCATTTGTAGATTCAGACCCACAAGTCAGCCCATTTTCAAGAAGCGTTCCTAGTCAGAACATGAAAAATCACCACAGCTATTCAAATTACCTAAGCTTCATGGTCCAATTTGCTCAATTAGACCAAAATAGGAGACATGAATAAAAAATTATTTTAATAATTTAACATGAAATAAGGATCATGTACCACAATCATAAAATTGTCTTTTGAAACAATACAATTTTCATCCACATTTTTAACAAAACCTGCATCTTTTGTACTAATCTGTCTTCACTTACCTCTTCAGTTACAAGTCCTAGTCCCAATGAGTGACTCCTCAAAGCTAAATTGTTAAAACTTGACTTTTAARCATAAATGCTTCCTCCTCTTAGGTACGAGAAGCGTTCACAGCAATGAAAGCATGCCTGCTAATGAACCTTCTGTTTGGAGAAAGATTAAGGAAACTCTGTTAGAGATCTGGCAGATGATAACCAGGAGACGATATAAAAAAAAAGGCGAGTGTAGAAAAACACAGAAGTTTTAGAAGACCACACTGCTGTCAGGTGATGGATGAGCAGATGGAGGCTGAGAAATTAGAAAGAGAAAGATCCACAGGAAACACAGGGAAGATTTACTCGCTGCTGCAGGAGGAGTGACCCTCATAACTGTAATTTTGCCAGTCGACTCAACATTGGCAAACACCGCCCCAAAATACATCATTTAGTCATTCACTGCTGCTACACTCTGGTTTTATTTAGAACTTCAGTCATTTAAAGAAAAACCTAATGGAAGCTCAKGTAAAAAACAAATTAATTTAAAAATCAGCAACCTTGATTCCAACAGTTACTGCTTGTTCAATGAGTAGTCCAACTGACAGCCCGTGGGCCACATCCGGCCCGCAAGTGACCAAAGTTAGGCCCACCAATTGGTTCATTCATCTCTTCAGCCCGTACCCCCGGTTTTCCACTTTAATTACTTTACTATCTTTTAAACATAGACATGTTTGGTATCTACAGAAACATCAGATTCTTGGCTAGAAGCTGGTAAAAAAAACATTGCTATGAACATCCAAGACAGTTAAAACTACAAGCAGTTGAAGATAAAACTATAAAAGTGAGAATAAAATTGGTTTAAAACTTTGGCAAGTCAGAGATGTCAAAATAACATTTGTGTTAAATAGGAGGCAAAATGTGTTCTTTTTGTTTTTGATATTGTTTAATTATCACTACTTTTATAGGTTCTGTCTATTGTCTTTATGATTAAATGCAGCAAAATAAACTATTTCAAAGGTAACAGGTTTTGTAATACTTTGTTTATTTACTGTGGTAGAAATAATACTTTATGTTTAAGCAAGTAATTCATGACATCCTTTAATGACCTAGGTTTTCATGACATGCTGTTCATCTGCAGATAGAATGATTAAAGTCAGAACAAGATTTGCTAACCTCGATAATCATTCTTAGATATCACTTGTGTTTATCTTTGTGTTTTCCATTGACCTTGTATCAAATCTTGCTAAGATGACAGAATGGTGTTTGTTAATATATATATATATGAGGCCTCTCGAGACACAGTTCAACACAGAACAAAAGAGTTCAACAGTAATGTGGAGACAGGGCAGGTTGTTCTCTGTTTCCTGTTGTTGCAATAAAACTCAGCTGATCATCCCACGGAGTACCTTCATTCTTGGACCACGTATTTCTCTGTCGTTGTTAAATAAATATTACCATAACATTTACATAATACCAATATTACATTATTAAATACATTATTACATAATGACCTGAATTGCTGGATGTTCGGCCCCTGTGCTGTTGGCCTGTCTTAACTGTGGCCCCCGGAGCAATTTATGTATTGTATAATGCCCCCAGCTACTGTCGTACAAAACTTTAGTCCAAGTTCTGTTTTTATGTTCTCTAAAATCAGGTGATAATCGTGAATTAAGCTTTTTTTTAAACAGATACATTATAATCCTAACATTTGTGTTTCCTGTATTCTCTYTCAGCTCTTGGTGAACTCCATTGGCCAGCCTGCCTTGTTGTATGAGAACGTCGTGGTGAGTGACGGGAACCCCCTCCTGAGGGATTTGCTCTTCAGTCCAGATCATCAGTTCCTGTACGCCCTAACTGATAAACAGGTGAGAAAAGTGCATTCTGCTCATCAGCACACCAATGATTAACATTACAGTCAGGCACTGTTGGTCCATTCTGCAGACTACTGATGCCACTGAGTARTTAATGACTGAATATACAGTATGTGGTCATTTATCTGTCTTTTGCTTTTCAGGACTGGTTCAGTGATACATGTTGACCCATGTCACACAAACTCACACACATGCATGTTTATCTGTTACAGAAACACTGCTTTCATTCACATGTTGCAAGACATACTTATCATCACAGCTGTRAGTGCTTATTAAAACATGCACACCCCCTTATAAAAAGAGCAGTAACCTGATAACGAGGGAGCACTAGAAAGAAAAATGCATTAAAAACGTATAGYAGAAAGACAAGTAATCAAGCTAATTTCATGCATACAAAAAGTGGCCTTTTCAGCAGATGAATAATTTTAGAGGCTTTTTTTAATCACGCACATAACTCGACCTAAGATTATCTAATTATTGTTATGAATATGAAATGCGCCTTTTAGTATTCAATGAGGAACACAAGATATATTAGCAGTTGTTGAAGCACATTTCTCATAAATGTATTAGTGCTTTTTTAAAGGTACTATATATAT